TAATAACAATTAATACATCAGAAATGAAAAATCGAAGGATTCTTGATGATTGAGTTATTGTTTTTTACTCAGAAAATTCCCTTAAAAATACTCCAATACGTTGACCTGCAATTTAACGAAACAAAATTTGCGATAAATAACTAATATTAAAATTGTGTGACATTTTCCAATTTCGTACCTCATGGCGTTGTTACAAGGCAAAAGATTAAAACGAATGCAACAGCACGAATCAATTTATATCTGAAGTTCAAGGATAATGTAATTACATATTATTAAGGCATAATAGAATAACGTGGACTCGTTTCATATAATAAAAATCCATTACACTTTTCGTTTAAATAATTGTATTCAATCTTAATTATCCTATAATTAAGATTTTAAATCGCGCTTGGAAATAAAATTACAAAACAATTGCGTAATATTTAATAACTAAAATTAATTCTTTATTTAATACCGAGCTATAAATTTTATCATAGACAAGATCAGAGATAAAAATAAGCATACGATTCGAAATAATAGAATATCAAGCACAAGTAAAATAATTTAAAGATTTTCTTCAAAAATTCCTAAATTATATATTCTGCATAATTTCTACTTCCACTTATCCCTTCTCTTCATTTCGACGCGTAATTTCTCCCGTTATTTCGTGGCGCCCGAACAATAGCAGTCGTGCGGATAATCGTGCATTCGGTAAAATTTCGTATCCCGTAAATCGAAGACGCGTGTTATTCCCAATTGGGGCGATTACCATTAACCAAAAACGTAAAATTCGAAATTGCAGAAACATGGGCCCCGGATGAAATGCGCCGCCTGCCGAGTGGTCGCCCACGCGGTGTGCGCGGTGAGCCTAAATTTCGCCTGTAAATCGAGTTTCCGGGACGTTGGGGTCCGCCAGTACCGGGAACAGACAAACACGCAACACCACTGGGTACACCGCCGCTCCCAGAAGGGGAAATGCGCGAATTGCGGCAAGTCGTTCCAGTCGAAGCTTAGCTTCACCTCGAAGGAGATCGTCGCTGTGAGTTGCAGCTGGTGCAAGCTCGCCTATCACAACAAGGAGGCGTGCTTCAACGTTCAGAAGATCGGCGAGAATTGCGAGTTGGGCGTTCATTCGTCCATCATTGTGCCGCCATCTTGGATCGTGAAGCTGCCCAGGAAGGGCAGCTTCAAGAGTAGCTTGAGGAAGTCGCCGAGGAAGAAGAAGTCTGGGGGCAGCAGCGGCAGCTCGTCGAGCAGAAAGAAGTCGAAGGAGAAGGAGAAAGAGGACAACAAGGACCAGGGGAAGTTGTGGGTGGTGAAACCCATACCTACGCCCACTGTGAAACCCGTGCTGGTCTTCATTAACCCGAAATCGGGCGGTAATCAAGGGGCGAAGCTGCTGCAGAAGTTCCAGTGGCTGCTGAATCCGAGGCAGGTGTTCGATCTGACGCAAGGCGGGCCGAAAATGGGGTGAGTGAGTTTTTCGAGATCACAGAAATATTCGTGTTTTGTATTGGGAAGCGACGAATTGTATTACTTAATAAATTCGAATTTTGTTGAAAGTTTGTTACGTATTTTAGCAATTTTTTTGAAATGAAATCAAGTTCGACAAATTTTAGCATTTTTCCAATTTTGGAAATATTTTTCACAACAGGGTGATGGAACATATAAAAATTAAGCATTTAAAGTTTTGCTTTATCACTGCAAGTTATATTTAGAAGAATGAAAAAGTATTGAAAAGAAAGAAAGAAAAAATGAAACTTTGAGTTTAAACGTTAATTTTATCTCCTTATAGTGATATTCTACTAAAAAATTACCATGTGTAATTCATTATGTTTAAAGTTTTAAAATAAACTTAAAAAAAACTATTTTAACGCATTGCGAATTGAATATTGATGAATCACTTTTACGCTTTAAACTCGTTCGTATAAAGATAATTTGGATATACAAGATATCCAAAAACACAGTTTAACTGGATATTTTTAACATAATTTCAAATAGCTTTATCTTTTGCAAAAATTTGTCAACAAAAAGAAATACTGGCCAATCACAAAGATTTATGCTTGAGATTTATTGCCTCTATATAATATTATAGAAAATATTAAATTATTATTAATTAAAATTTTACGTTAATAAATTTTTGATATTATTTAGGAAAGATGTATTTATTATTTTAACAATATATTAATATTAATATAAGTTATATGTCTTTTAAATAAATCATAAGTAAAAACAAACTTTATATGTTTTCCAACAATAAGATCAAGTCTGATTTGTTTGTTTTAACAAGGATGTTATATAGAAAACTAAAATAACTTCAATTTTTATATACATGCCTTGAATTGATAGAATAGAATAGATACAGTTAGTTTTTAATTAAAGAGGAAAGAATAGAAAATTGGAGATAGGGAATGTATTGTATTTGATACAGTTGCATTTATTGAAGTCGTAAAATGTTATTATCAAGAATAAAACTGCAAGTGGAATTGTAATATCATGTAAATAATTGCAAATTGATTTTTTTGAATTTTTATAAAAAAGATAATAAATTAATCGATAAATTAGTTAAGTTGATTAACGAAATTTTTATGATTTTCTTTCATAAGTCATATTTGCATTTTTTTCTTTTTTATTTTAATAATATACTACGATATATACGATGACAATGGAATTTAATTTTCTTTAACTAATTTATAGAATATTTTACATTTTAAAAACTACTTCGTCAAATATATACAGTTTAATCAAATATCATAATCATTTTGCGAATTTTATTATATTCTTTTTACTTTTACTCGGTCTTTATGAAATTTGAAAGAAACTTATTGTTCATTGAAATATAAATATATACAATTATTAATTCACATATAATTAGTTGTTTCCTAATTTTTGTTAATAACTCATAGAATTTTTAAAACTTTTAAAAATTAATGTCTCAAAAGAGAGTCAAATACTTTGCTTTCTCCAGCTTTGAATTGATGAGCTTTGAATTTTGGCAAGAGAGATTAAGTCGATTGAATGAAAATTGAATCGAGTTCATTGGATTAGTTGAAAAGAGGCAGTTTAGTGGAAAATATGATAAATGAATGAGAAATTTAATTAAAGTTTTGCGGATATGGCTGGCAGCCAGGAAATGGCTGAATAAAAGTGAACTTTTCAGTATAGAGCTTCTCTCTGTGGTATTATCGAAATTTCCTCGAAAACTTTATTCAAAATTTCGAAGCATTTCGTTTTGATTGCAACGATATTATTAAATATTTTATTATAATTGTGTGAACACAATGATAAAAATTTCTTTAAAATAAACTTCATCTTCTTGTCAACTTTATTAAATGTTTAAAATTTTTTAATCATTTAAATGATATTATTTATATTCGTTTTTAATATTATAAAAATGGAATAAAATTTTCATTTTAATCATTAACGATAAATAATATTTTTGTTAAAATTTCATTTCATGAAATATATACGTTCGCTTTTGATTTTTAAATGTGTAAATTCATTAAAACAAGAACATTATTTATGAAATATATTATATATATATATAATGTTATATATTTAATTATAAAACATATAAATGTTTTTGAATTATCTCTGACGTTATAGAAATTAAATAAAGAATATAAAATAAAAATCACATGCATACTGTAAAAATATTGAATATTTCATTTATATTTATCATATAAATATACAGTATATTTAATAATTTCAATATTAATATTTAATATACTTTTTTTTTTATATTAAATATAATTTTACAATTTTACAATTTAGGCTTACAATTAATTGTATTATTTAATTCTAAAAAATAAAAAGAATAAATTTTCAATCGATAGACATAATAAAGAGGAAAGAACAACCACTATATTCTTTATTCTAACATTCTTTCTTAATATCATTTAACTTGAAAGTAATTTTTCTTCCTCAATCTTCAAAAATCATTAACTTTTAACATTATCTTCCCCAATACCCATTCCCAATTAAACTATTATAACCTTTTCAACTCTAACCTATTATAATTCAACTTTCTCTTTCTCTAAAATTTCTTCATAATCCAAACGATAAAAATAAAAATCAATTTCTTCTCGATTCTTAATCGTCTTCCTCATTTCACCATCTCACCATCCTCAAGTCATCCAAATCTTCTCATCACAACTCAAGCAAACAATGAAGTATATATATATAATAAACCGAGGCTAAAAATCACGAATATTCCTTCTCACTTTCAGGTTGGAATTGTTCAAAAAAGTTCCTAATCTTCGAGTACTGGCGTGCGGTGGGGACGGTACAGTCGGCTGGGTGCTGTCCATCCTGGATCAAATCGGCGCGTCCCCGCCCCCCGCGGTAGGCGTACTCCCCCTAGGAACGGGGAACGACCTGGCCAGGGCTCTAGGATGGGGCGGCGGTTACACGGACGAGCCGATCGGGAAAATTTTAACGAACATAGGGGAGAGCGAGACGGTGTTGCTGGACAGGTGGCAGTTGGTCGTCGAGAGGAATCCCGAGGCGCAGGGCGACGACGATAACGGGAAGGGAAAAGAGAATCTACCTCTGAACGTTGTTAATAATTACTTCTCCCTCGGTGTGGATGCCCATATCGCCCTCGAATTTCACGAGGCTCGAGGTCAGTCCCTGCAGTCTCTTAGAAAGGGGTTCGCACCGGGCGCAACAGTTTATTTAAATTATTTAGAAACGGTCTCGTTGAACGCGTCGAGGAACAGGCATTACGTAGTTGCCGGGTAGGAAGGACCTGTTGCCGAGTTATTCATATCTCATGCAAATGTCTTTTGGTAGGAGAGCGATATTACGAACGTTAACGTTAAGTGAGATGGGTTTTACACGCGGGTTTATGTGAATGTAGGTGAAAATAGGGGGGGGATAAGAATGGTATGTTTGGAAGGTGATAGGTGTGGATTAATTTTATTGGAACGTATAAGAGACGGTCGTTCTTTTATTTTGTAATGGAAAACGTACGAACAGCGTGTTTTATTCGAAATTTTGGAAATATTTAAATGTCACAAGAAACACTCTACTCTATTATTTATATCCTCTTTGTCTTTTGTATGTAAGTTTTATGAGTATTGAAATATCTCCTGAAATAAAGATTTTTCGACATAAATTGTAAATAAAAATTATATAATTCCATTTGCAACAAATCCGTTGCAATCTATAGAAAATTATTAATATTACATAATGTATCTTTTTATAAATATTTTTTAATATTATCAGATATTTGAGTGTTTCCGATTAAAATAGACGTTTCTTGCATGTTTTTATTATTCTTTTCCATCGTAATAATTCTTCTTTTATTTATTATATATATATATATAATCTAAGTTTTATTAACTTTGTTTTCATGAATATTCATTTTCACGAATAAATCTCACGTTTCTCACATTTTTATTGTATTAAAAACATTTTTTATTAGTTACGTAAATAGAGTTTTATAATGAAATGTATTAAAATATTATAAATTAATCTTTCGATTAACTAATGAATAGATAAATCTTATTCACCTGGTATTCCTCATAACATTATATAACGTTGCATTAAAACAAGTATTAAAATTAATGAATTAAAAATGAACGAGTAACGAAATATTTAATATTATTTTTAATCACCAATTGTGAACGGTAAAATAATTATATAACTCGGAGTAAAGCAAAAGTAAGAATAAAAAAATTCGATTGTGTTACAGAGGCGCATCCAGAGAGGTTCAATTCACGGTTACGGAACAAAATGTTTTACGGCCAAATGGGGGGCAAGGATCTCGTGCGACGAAAGTGGAAAGATCTGTCGGAATTCGTGATGTTGGACTGCGACGGCCAAGATTTGACACCGAAGCTGAAGGAGCATCGTGTTCACGCCATAGTTTTCTTGAACATCGCCTCGTACGGCGGTGGAACGCACCCTTGGGGCAGCGCGAGCGGAACCAAAGAACCATCGACGGAGGATGGACTGATCGAGGTCGTCGGTTTGACCACGTACCAGCTTCCCCTTCTTCAAGCAGGTGGCCACGGCACCTGCATTGCCCAATGCAGCACAGCCAAGCTGGTTACCACGAGGACCATTCCAATGCAGGTGAATTTTCTTTCATCGTTACTTCTCTTTCTCTTGGTTTTATTAAATACGTCAATGTTAATTTAAATTTGTAGAAATATATTGATAATTTTTAATTCCATAAAAAACGAGGGAAAAGGACGAATTTTATAGAATTCACAATCTAATATACAGAATAATTAATATATTGTGATATAATATATATTCAAGAGATAGATCTATTTTGTCTAAATATTCTGTACAATTTTTCGTGTTTGACATTTTATACAAGATATTAATACATATTTGTGAAATATCTTTGAAGGGTTAATTTTAGAGGCTGAAATAAAAGTAAAAATATCGGTTAAGATTTATATACGTCATATTATATATAATAAGTAAAATGATTAATATAATAGTTAGATATATTATATAAATATTAACTATTAGATTAACTATTAGATTAGAAATATAGTTTAAATAGAAATTTACTTTATTTCTTCTAAATAACGTAATCACAATTCTATTTCATGTTTTTTTGAGTGTTATATATACATATATATATATTTTGTATATTTTTGTACGTTCTAATTTTGCACAAATGCATAAATATCTGCAATCTAATTGTAAACAATGCAAGTTTTCGTCAGATGAAGCGAGATAAAAATAGAATGATTTATGATAGATGACTAGATGATAGATGACTAGAGAGATCTCACTATTTCCATCTTGTTTCATCTAAACTAGTTATAACATAAATAAATAAGTTTCGACCTTTGTATTCTAAAAATGTCCCACGTTTATATTAAACATATACACAAAAATTACAACACAGACAGTTTTTAAATAATTAATTACATAGTTTGATAGAAAAGAATGGCAAAATTAATAATTATATTATATAATAAATTATATGCTATACAGATTTAACAACAGGTTGACTGTTATTATTTATTATATAATTAACTTTAGTTGCTTGGGTTGTAATAAAAGGAAATAGAAGAAATTAATTGTTATTGAGCGAATCTGATAAAAAGTATCGTTACATAAAATGCCAATTATTTTTTATTGAAGCTACATAATTAAAATTATCTGAATAAATGCTAGGACATCGCGAGATAATTTATACACGATAATAAAATCGTTTTATAATAATAATTTAATTGTATGTTCGATTAATACAATAAAGAAGAGACTATTGTTCTTATTTTAGGTCGATGGCGAGGCTTGTCGACTGCTACCATCTATCATAAATCTGAAGCTGCTAAATAAGGCAACAATGTTAGCGAAACGAAGAAGTTCGAGCAAACCGCAACAAGACGTCAAACTGGAGAGATTAAAATTGCCGGTGATGAAGATCAAGATGTCGGATTACGAGAGATATCATCACGATAAGGATATGTTAAAAAAGGCCGCTATCACGTGGATTATGGAACCGCTTGATCTTGACGCTACCACAGACTTGGAATCTTTAAGAAAGATCCTGGCAAAAGACTATAACATGGACACTTGTTGCTTCCTCGATTGTAAGTATCGCCATACAGAATTTCCGTTCCAACCATTTGCAGGATTCTTTACAAAGAAAGTTTCTTGAAAAGATATATATATATATCTGAGTAGCAATAATGTAATTGTTAAATGTTTCTCAAGTTCTTTCTTTTTACCACTGGATTGTTAATTGAAATAAATATTATAGATAGTTGCAATTGTAATAATCATTTTTACATATTTATGTATACATTCTGCGTTAATCAAATTTATTTTATAATGCTTTCTTAGAGCAATTAAAAATTTCAAGCAATTATTCATTCATATTTTGTCACAGAAAACAATTTATATTTTTTGTAACTTTATGTTGCCCAAATTCGATTAAAAATTATTTAACTAACGATTAAAAATTCATATGGCTTGGAAATTAATTATTACCAATATTTCGATTAATTTTTCAGCATGCACCGCGGAACGATTCTTCAGAATCGATAAAGCTCAAGAGCAACTCCATTACGTGACCGATGTAGCTGTCGAAACGGTGTACGTTCTCGAAGAGAACGCAAATCAATCGAACGAATCTGAAGAAGCGAAGATATCTATGACTCAAAAATCGGAAACTGGCGTACCATCGAGGTACTTCTTTTTATTTATCGAATTAAACTTTTTTTTCTCGTTTACAATAGATTACTCATTATATTATTACTCTCGTAGATAGTCCTTTTGTTTCATATTTATTTATGCTGAAGCAATGTGTTAATTGTTATTGATTAAATCTTAATCTGTAATCAGCGTCGTATAGTTTGGAAGATTCTAATTTGATTTTTTGTTTTGATTTTAATAATAAAAGAATTAATTTGCGTGTCACAAGTAATGATAGATATAATAAACAATGTCACAAGTTATTAAAATTAGCCTTAATATTTTTCATTAAATTAATTTCAAAAATATCTTCAATCAAACATGTATTTTATATTAAAAACAAATTTAAGCTTGATAAAGCTTGATTTAAATTTCTAGCCATATAACAAAAGTGGGACGACGTCGGTTACAAATTAATTTTGTTCTTTGTTTAACATAGATTGACTGTTTAGAGCCATTGAATAATATTATATAGCCATAATTCCATAATTTTATTATCCTATTTTTTTTCTAATCTCTATTTGCATTGTTGCTCTTTGTACTTTCTTGCATGGAAATATTATTTATCTTATATTATATTATATATTTTTAATATATTTTCCACAAATTAGATTGCAATGTGATTTTTATCGGTCTTTGTTAATTCAATTAATAAATAGAATTGAATAATATGCATGAAAATATATATATATATGCATTGAAACATTTGAAAAATAAATAAAATTACAGAAGTGGTTTTAAACGGTCAATTTTCTTTAAACGGAGAACAATGTTTAATCTATATAACATAGTAGTTCATCTATTTATCTTTTATATATATTGTTCACAGAGAAATTATTGAATAGTTCCGTGATCTAAACAATGATTCGAAGTTACATAATTATGACTCGTAACTTCAAAAAAATAATACCTTGTTTGAACCTTTTATCGCCACTTCACACATTCGTCCGTGATATCTGTAATGGTAATGGAATCGTATCATTAGATTAATAGAAAGAACGTGTAATATAGCGAAGAACAAGCAAAGAAAAATGCAGCCATGACAAAAGAGCAGCCCAAAGAAGAGCAAAAAGCGCAGCCCAACGAAGAGCCAAAGGCGCAGCCTAAAGAAGAATCAAAAGCACAGCCAGATACGCAGAGTGCAGCGCCTGAAACACCAGCTGAAACAAGACACAGGTCGTGACTCCGAAATCTCATGAACCGACGAGTAATAACGCGTCTAAGGATGTATCTTCAAATATGAAAAAGGAGGGGAACATATCTGGAGACGCGACCAAACAAAGCAGTTCCTCAAAATCGATCTCTGCGACGGTTGCCTCTCAGTCGCAACATCAAACACCACCCACCTTCATTAGGTAAGCTATTGCTCTTATTTTTTTATATTCAATTCAAGTAGCAAGTAATATTGCAACAAATATATAATTTAAATTTGATAGATGTCGCGATATAAATCATACAATAAAATATTTTGTAAAAGAAGTAAGGAGATGCTTCGTTTAAATCAAATCTTTATTCATACAATAATATTGGTGGCCGTTTATTCTTATTCTTTTAAAAAAGAATCTACTTTGAAAACAATGTCTTAATATATTATACTTTAATTCTCTTCACACAGAGTAATTCGATTTTTATTAGTCTTATTAAAGGAATGTTAGTTAGAATGATATCTTATTAGTATTTTCAAATATTTGAAGAAACAATTTTTTTTGAGGAAACATTTATATTTTATATATAGAAATGCTTTTACGTATACATCTTCTCCTTTTAGAATATTATTATATTCTATTTTAAATAATACTTTTAAATAAAACTCATAGTTACAGAATAACAAGAAGAAGAAAATTATTTCTTTGAGTGGCTAATTTGTTATGTTACAGTCCACGAGATAGACTCTTTGGTCTGAGTTCTGAGGTTCATACTTTTAACACGGGATTACTGGAGAAAACCAGTGACGGTATTTTGAAAGCAGCGAAAATAGGCGATCTACAAGCTTTGAAGGAACTTCACGAGAAAGGATATTCCCTTCTGTCAATCGATTCCACTGGACAAACTGCTCTACACTTGGCCTCGAGATATGGTCATAAAAATATTATCAGATATCTCATCGCTTGCGCACCACCGACTATTCTCAATATGATCGACAATGACAAGTAAGCCTATGCTTAATGCATTGTATCAACAGTTTACTCGATTAAAAAAAAAAGGAAAGGGGGAAGAAAATAGAAAAAGACGATTAAAAAAAGAAGAAATATCATGTCAAATGGCTCTCTGACTTTTTTTAAACTTGATATCTTGTATGATCTAGCTTAAATTGAAAAATTTTTTGTATTTTTTGATAAATCTGTTTAGAACGTGCTATAATGAATCAAAGAGAAAATTTATTCCTGGCGCGTAAAAAGGAACGAGAGAGAGAGAGAGAGAGAGAGAGAAGAAAAAGAAAAGTTTGCACCTTCTAATTACAGAGGTCAGACCGCTTTGCACAAAGCGGCTCAATATAAGCGTCGTTCCATTTGCTGCATGTTGGTAGCTGGTGGTGCTACTTTAATCATCAAGGATCGACACGGCAACACACCTCGCGATCTAGCCCTGCAAGCAGAGGACCGTGACCTCGCAGCATATTTAAGCAGTGAGTGTTTTGATCTTTTTCTCTGGATGCTCGTGTTTTACGTGAAGAAATATACGATGCAGCTAAGCGAAGACTGTATATAGCACAAGAAATTATGAAGAATATATATTAAAGAATAAGGATCAATTAGAGAAAATAAGATTCTGAATTAATAATTTAATCAGATAGATAATGCTTAAGCAAACAATTTTTTTTCTATTCCTCTACACTTTTCTACAATAATATTTTATAGAATGAAATATTTTTATTCCAAACATTGTAATTTATTAATCTTATCTTTATCTTTTTCTTAAGTAAGATATTTTATTTTATATCTCAAAAAATTATTATTTTAGATGATATATATATATATGTGTGTGTGTGTGTATGTATGAATTAAAAAAAAAATTTTATACTTTGAGTTTAAAGTTAGTTTCAGATTTATATAGTACAAGACTTTTTATTGTTTCTTGATATAACTTTTTTATAAACAAGTAATAAATATATTGTCAAACAATCTTACAAATATTTTTAGAAGCGGTTTCCAAGGAGTAAAGTATTGTATCAATTTCTCGTGGCTGCATATTTCCTTTACAATTTTTTTTTTTTTTCCATTAGAGACTCGAATAAATTACTACATCACTTTTCATAAGTATAACCATATCTCGTTTAATCTCGTAAAGAAACAAGATATTTTCATTAAAATAAAATGATTCAAACAATAAAATAAAAATTTGAAGAAAATTTTTTTTTAAAAATTAAAAGAGAAGATAATGAATCAAGAATTAAATTTGCACATTAAAATTAAATCATAACGATCTATATATCTCGTGATCTTTTGTTGATACGTAAAAGCTCTCCCTATTTGAACACGTACAATAAGAATACATAAAATTCTTTAAGGATCTATTTGTCATTCGAGAGAATCCCTTTAAAAGAATCTTTCATTTTTTATATATTATATAATACTTTTATTAGCCATTCGATCAAAATCCTTTTCCAACCATCCAAACGGTTTCTGTGAATGGTTAAATCGGTTTTATTCATATGTATATCGGTTTTATTGATATACAGGTCAAGAGCAGTTCCAGCTGACAACGGAAGAAATGGAGAACTCCCTCTGACCCCCGCCCTTAATTAGTAGGGCTTGAATTGATCCAGTGTAGGAACATGAAGAGAAATGATCCAGGTGTGAACGAACAACGATCGTCACCAGCAACGGTCATCCACACGACGCACGTTCGTTTTCTCTGTTCTTTGCGTAAGTCGCATGTGATAACTCGATTATTCCTTTTATCGGCAAATTAGCGATGTCGACATATATTTATCAAGGTGCTCTCCATTTCCTTTCTCGTCGAAGCTTCGAGATCCCTTTCCATCAGCATGTAAATTAATTATATTCTGTATAGATAAATTACATATACACGCGTGTACACGCGTCGTGTCGTTGAGGTTAGAAATTTTTCGATCGATTAAGAGCCTCTATATACATATATATATATATATTTTTAAATCGTATCAGACGAGAAAATTATTTATTACTGTCTTTCGAGTCTCGTCTTACCAACGAAGGAATCACGTAAATGTTTATATTCATCGATTTTTGTTGAAATTAATGTAAACAATAAGAAATGGCGAGAAGCAACACGCGTGCGGATGAAATTATGAAAAGCAAAGGAATTTTGCTCATTCAAGGGATGTTGCTGTTATAAAATCGTATTCGTGAATTTTAAAAATATGACAAATTTTTAGTGAGAGATTAAAGGAGAATGGATTAATCGAAAATTTAATTATAGTTGAAAATCATCATAAAAGACTAATCTTCACTGTATTCTCCGTTTATATGATTTTTATTTTATATTTTTCTACGTTTCCATTTCTAAATATTCGACAGATTATATGTAAATTATCCCTATGAATTTGTAGTGTTGTTGTTCCATGATAACGTATTAGACACAGTTTTTTACATTTTTCGCGACTAGTGGCGCCATCATCTTTCTTAAATGCGAAGGATGCATAAGTATATATAGGCATAGTTAGTGTTCACAGAGTTGGGCAGAATTTTTTCGTTCCAGTTGTTTAGATCATTATTGAGACTGTTAGGATCGTTGATTCACGTTAGAAATTTGTTTTCATGCACGTTGTGCACATTGTTACGATCGTTGTTCGAGTAAGATTTTTTTTTCCTTTCGAAAAGCTTGTTCGTATTCGAAGAGGCGGCGTATTCGAAAAATTTTGTTAATAATCGCGTGATAATCGGAGGAAGAGGATGAGATATATTTATCGCCACGGTTATTTGTTGAATTTTATCGAAGAGAAAGAAGTTCTAGTATCCGACTCTGCTGGTATCCAAGCGTTCACTTTAATATCTCGTTATATTGTTCTCTTCGCTTGTTCTCTAGGATACCTCGTTGCATTGGATATACATATCTTTTTCTATAAAAAAAAAAGAAAAAAAGTCTCGCGTTAATATACATATATATATTATACATATACATATATTTTCTACGTACGTTAAATACTGATATAATATTTATTGTTCTTAAGATAAAAAAAGTTTCTTCACGATGCTGTTTTTATTCTTGTCCGTGAACATTCGTTGCACTTCTTGCCACTGCTTGGATGTGCATGAAAAACACGTGTATATATACGTAATTTTACACACAAGAAAAATGAAATCAAACGAAGTTATATAAAAAATCGGATAGTTGGAAAATACTTTCGAATTTTCATTCATACATGGGATCGGTGTAATATAATTTTAACGTGTTTGCACGATCGTCTGAAATATAATCGTTACGCGTATTTTCGCAAGTCATATTTGTTAGATCGAAATAAAATCACAGAATTTTGATGAAAAAAAAAAAAAAAAAGGAAAACATCGATTTAAAGAAGAAACTGTGCCAATTAGTCGATGAATCGGTGGAAACTTAAATCGCGTTTGCATTGCTTCTTGAGTGTAAAAAATAATATGCATATTTTTGCAATGATACAAATTAATAGAAAAAACATATTCAATCTGTAATACTTCAAACCAAGAATCTTTAATTCAAGATACATTTTTACGTAGCTAATTTATTTCCTTCGAATTTCCTTGTAATATTTGATTCTGTATTTTTCGATTCGATATCACAAAAAATGATATTTCCTAAGAATTCACGCATGTAAACACGACTTAAGGTTTCCATTATCCATTGCGATACACCGATTGCATTAAAAATTCGAAAGAAACGAAATCTCCAATGCACCAAGCAGTGATGTTCACCACCTATTTAATATTAATCGATTGAAAAGAAGTGAAAAGAGAAGCAGAGATCGGATGAAAATCGGCGGTCCATGATATATAAGAAGGATAAGAGATCGGGAAGAAGAATTATCATAACTCGGTACCAAAATGAAAAAGGGGATCAACGTACGAACACCAATTAGATCTTAAAAAAAGACGGTCTATCGTCGCTTATTATTATACTATTACTAGACTATTCTAATTTTATTGTCGAACTATATCGTATAACGTATACATAGTTACTCCTTCGAGCATTATTCGTCCTATGGATATGGTGAGATCGTTTTTGAACAAAGTGGAGCCACAATGATACACATATATATATATATACATGTAGATATATGCGAGGTAAGTTATCCATGTTGGACACTCGCGAATCCATGTTCACGAATGTTTAACATCAAATACTCTCGACTCGATTCGCGTTAGCGTTCAAATATTTTAAATAACCACTTTGACAAATTTATCATGGATAATAATAGTTTCTTATTTCAAGCGTATCGTGTGTGTATATATATATATATATATATTATATAGATATATATATTATATAAATATATATACTATATATCTCTTTTTTCTCTTTTTTCTTCTCAAGGGAATCATCCCTCGTTTTCGTGATTACATAATAACGATCTACGATATTTTTATTATTATTAATAAAAGAGGGAGAAAAAAATCGTGATCCAAAGGATTCACGATTATCCTTAAACGATAATTCAACGATTTCACGATCTAGTTGTATATAATCATGCATAGCTCTCGGCTAAGGAGAAAACTCAACTTTTACTTAATTAACCGACGTACGATCGATGTTCAGCGTAATAAAAGAAGAAAAAGGTAAAAAGGAAAAAAAAAAAAAAAGAATTCTCCACGAGTCTAGAAAATTTTCGACTCGAATCCTAGCTCCTTCGAATTTAGCTCGAACGTTTTGAAAGTGATAAAGGGGGAAGTAAGAAGAAAAAAAGAAAGGTGGTGGGGTGGGAGGAGGGAAGGGGGAGGGGAAAAACAGAAAGTATTCGAACGGATCGAGAGAGTATATTAGCGCGTGTCCACTCCTCGTGTGTCTCTTATCCTCTGTAATTAAAAAAAAAAAAAAAAAAACTAGATATTTTTAAGCGATCGAGTTTAGAAATCGAGTTTAGAGAAGTTTCGAGAGGCAAGGAGATCGCGCATGCGCGTACCTGCCGTGTATCACAAGAGTAAACTAGATTGTACAAGTATACCGGTAGAGTGAATTGAAGATATATATACCAATAACGATATGGCGAATCGATTCTAGAAAAATGCCTTCGAGCGTAAGATACCGTTGTTCTGATTATTTTTTATATATATGTAGCGTAATCACGATGCCTTTGTAATTCTATCCCGAGAGAATGAGCCACGCACATCGGGCGAACGATCGATATTTCCACTGTATTTAATGTCCCCATTATATTTAACGAGAGAAGAACGAGCCTTGGTCCTTCGCGCGATGAACGTCGGCCACGTCGATTTAAAAAGAAGCATTAAAAAGAAAGCGGAAAGCTAGTGTTTAATCACGCTGATACACATTGTATTGTTTTACGTATTGAAAATTTTTATTTAATTTATAAAGCCTTAGTCTCGATTGTTTGAGAGTTAAGCTGGAGAGGACGAAATTTCTTTTTTTTTTCTTCTTTTTTTTTTTTTTTAATTAATAAAGCGAAATTTAAATTTCACCAAGTGTTAAATTAAAAATCTGTTGACTTTGTCATTTGAATTTTATTAAACTTAAATTAAATTGACGTTTCAAATAAATTATTTTCCTTCTTTGTGGTTTCTTTTTATTTTCTTTATTTTTATTCCCATGTTTATTTTCTCTCTCTCTCTCTCTCTCTTTTTCTTCTATCGGTAATTCAATAATCGCAAATTATTTCTTCATGTTTCGAACATTACTGCGAAAACTTTCGAATCCATCGCCATCTTTGTTGTTACGTCCATCGTGATTATATAATCTGGTTAAAAGTTTAAAAGTTTCGAATCGACGACCAAACTTTTTGTTTCTTTTTTATCAGGAATCGGTCCGCGATGAAAAGAGAGTTCTTCCGATTGTTCTCGGATTGTTTCTCGTTTCACGAAGATTCTTCTTCGCGAAATAAAAATCGTTAAATCGAACGAAAAAAGGAATAAAATACTTTGAAATCGCGTTGAATCGTCGAGTAATTAATTAAATAGCGTAAATTCTTATCTGTCGTCTTAATAGAATCGAGATGTATTTCGAATCGTTCCAATTGCTCGGAGATTTCGATGCGTGTTTGTGCAACTTTCTTACCGATCGAGTATATATATATACGAATTTTGCACTTTTCATGTTTCTAAGAAATATTTTGCTAGGTTTTAAGTAAAAGATCTGAAAATAGAAAATATACACGTATAATAACGAAATAACAATTTTCTCGATACTATATTTCTGAATCGTAAATAAATAAATTGATTGATCGATATTGAAATTAATGACGAACGAAAATGTAAATGTCATGATTCAATTTCATCGATAACCACAAAAAAGTTCCGCATTTATTTTAAGATAATTATCGTATAGAACATGTTCCTTGCACGTGAAAGTTTTCTCGAATTTCTTAGAGGTAAACGTTTATCCGAATTGTTATGGAAGTATCGCGAAAATAAAATGCAAATAATCACGAAACAATACGATATTATTCTTAACTATGAAACTACGTTAACTTGTATGGAATAATATTTATCCTTAATATAATCCGAGGCGTCAAAAATCGAAGGAGATTCTGGATTTTTAATAATCACGAAACATGTAACGAAAAATCCAAAAATGATTGAACATTTTTTGGGAAAAGTTTATAATCCATCACGTATACGCAGTCTCGAATCTGTTGATTATTATAACGGATAAAATCAGAGATACGTGAGAAAATATTTAAATTACCATTTATATCTTAATTAATCGTTATTCTCTATACGATTACTCGTTACAATTTATAATAATTATCTTGATAAAAATTCGAAGATGTTCTTATTACAATTGAGCGAAAAATTCTATTACACGCGTTGACCCAATATTTTCTCGTTGATTCGTGTACATATCAAAGAATAACACGAAACATTTAAACGTAAATCGATTGAAAAGAATAAAAAAAAAAAAAAAATAAAGGAAAACGATCAAAATTTTTGAAAGTGATAATTTATTATCACAACATTAATGATTTTTTCTTGAAATTTGTTCGTACGTTCATTAAAGATTAAAATCAATCGATGATTATTAAAGTAAAGGTATTTCAATTTTTAAGAATGAGTTCAAATTTTCTAACCTCTTTTGCGAATGAGATTGTATACGTGACGTTTTTAAATATTGCTTCCCTTTTCCGGACGACATCTCTTTGAATGGAACGGGGCAATTCAAGATTCCCTTTGAACTTTTTTTCAGTTTAATCTTAGCCTTTAATCTTCGTCGACATTCAATAATGCAATTCCTGTTCTTCCTTTTCTTTTTTTTCTTTTTATGCTTCTCCTTTTTTCCTTTTTATTCGAACCAATTGATCAATAAGAAATCGTTCTATCGTAAAATTAACGCGTTACGATGTTTCTCAGAGTTACATCGATTAATACGATTGCTAACGATGATTAATCTTAAAAATTGTTTTAAAGATTAAAAAGAAAATTATATGATATTTATGGAAGGTGGAAATTCAATAGATGTCGATATATGTTTGCATTTCAATGAATTTTGATATGAAAAATTTGAGAATAATAACGTGTTACGCATCAGTGTCAATCATCAGTGACTGATAGCAAGTTTTGTATTCAAATTATATTCCATGAATGTGTGATTCACCTAAAGATTTGAATTGTTGATGTTATAGTAATAGATATATGTACAACGTATCGATCGAATAAACGTAAAAATTTAATTTTCTCTTTGAAGATATAAAAATATTATTTATAATAATAATAATAATAAATTGTTCTATCTCTTTGAAATTGAAGATAAACTAAAATAGAGAAATTTTAAGAGGAATTAAATTTTCTAAATTAAGAATTTTAGATTTAATAATTGTTACGTTATTATGGATATATTGATTATGAAAATATCACGTTTATTTCTCGTAGAATTTATTGATATTCTAAATTCGAGTGAAGTATTAATATGCGTGTAGATGAGTATATTGTACGTCAGATGAGTCACTGGTGACCCACGATAAAAACCAAAAATAAAACTTCTATCAATAAGCAAATAAAAATATTCTTCTACTAATTTTTTTTAGCAAATATTTCGCGTATAAAGAAAGATCAAAATGTCAGAATTCAAGTATAATTTTAATATGGTTAAAGTTTTTTACTCTCGACAATTTGTTAATATAAATTTTCTCATATCACAGAACGTATTGAATTCCAATGATTTGGATAATCTTTGGAAACATTGTAACGTAACGATTGGATAAACTTTATAATTTTTTTAGTATATTTCTACGATAACAAAAAATTATAATATCTCGATACGTACATAATATTATACACGGTTTGTTTCAGAAGTAATGAAACCATTTTCTTTCTAACTCGAATCGATATATCTTGGCAAGAAGATTATTACAATTTATTTAATTTTATTATTTAAATCATTACATTGTTAACTTCGCAATATCACACTGTTTTTTCAAGTGAAATACAATTCTTCAAATTCATGTAAAATATTTTGAAAAAAATTCATTGATGTACTTTTATACATTTAGAGCTATAAAATATAAAGTTAGAAAAAAATCAGAAATTTTATATTTGTAATTCTTTTCAGTTACAATAATGAAAATAAATATTCTATTAAAATAACGAAACATCGTTTAACGATATTGAAATAATATCATTGAATATAACTTTATTAAATATAAAATTGAAAATATGAATATTTTAAAAGATAAGCTAATATTGTACGAAAAAAAGATAACAATGCTTTCATGTGTATCACTTCTTGTAGGAATGTCTTTAAAAATTATTAGTTTCAAAATATTTCTATAAAAATAATCCATTTACTTTTAAAACAAACTGTGTAAAAAATACATTTTCAAACCAATTCACAAATAATGCGAGTATTCTATAATATTGAACATAAGTTAAAGAACTGTAACAAGAAAAATATAGAAAAGTTCGTAAATGAATGGAGAACTGTCCGAAAAAATAAAATTTTAAGAAATGTATCGATAATTAATAATTATATAAAATAATTTAATTTATATAAAAAAATATTCATAATAAAAGTACTCGTATTATTTATGAGATGAACCTGATATATTTATCGAATATTTCGTTATAAATTAACGAAAAGAGAAGAGAAGAAAAGTCAATGCCTTCTCGAAGCTCGCAAATATGCAACGAGCCAACGGAAACTGAAACCACGAGCATGAGAAATATTCCCGAAATTTCAAAAAATTTTCTTCGGGTCAGATCGATTTATCGACAATCGATAAATAGCTTCCATTTAAATACTTTGGTTTCCCTCAAAAAGTAATTTGAATCTCTTCGCCATCGATCATAAAATCATGTGGTTATCGCATAGTTCTAGCATTAATCGTTAGGAAATGATCGATGATCAGAGTTAAATTTTCAGGGATCGAATGGAGAGCATCCGATCGATCGGTAAAATCTCTCGATTCCAAATATTAGATCCAATGATAATAAGTATTGCGGTAGAAAACTGTGTGAAAATTGTAAACGACAATTTCTTGTATGATTAACACATTTTAAAACGTGATATCAATTTTCTAGGAAAGAAATTTTTTATATTCCTTTTACATTCTTAATTTTTCTTTTCTTCGTGAAATTTTAAAAAGTACTGAGCATAAAATCTTACTTTCAACGAAAATTGATTTTTAGACGTTATTTAATCTTTTCTATTCTCTTATAGACGAGAT